GATCAGTCATGGTGTAGACAAGTAAATGGCCGGTTCGTTCCTTTACCCTGAGCTACCAAATCTAATTGCATCTGGAGAAAAGAGAGAATCCTACACCTTGGTTCTTTGTTGTCAATTTGAATCCTCCTCTGTCAAAATCCAGGCTGATTTGATAACATTGAAAATGTCTTTTAAAAGTCTTGACAATTTGGAAAATTGCTGGAATCGGTTAGGATTGGTCGGGCAAACTCCCTTTTCAGTTGCTCTGTCTAAATATCATGGTGCCGACCCACTGCAGCAGAGTTCTTAACCAGTGCGCCTTAGGTAGCCTACCCACCCATACTTAGAGAGACCAGCTCTTAAAAATCAAGTTACTGTGAAAAGGAGTGGTTTCTGACAGAAGCAAAGGTAGTTTTGTGGTCCCTGGTTCACCCCTATCTATTCAAGTACTCCTCTGTCAAAAACCAGACCCATGCCTTTGTAGATTTTGCCAAAAATGAAAAATTTGAAAATCGCTGGAAATGGTTAGGATTGGTCCTTTCAATCACTGCGTCGAAGTTTCACCCCCCGGTCCATTTCAAGTGAGTTACGCCTGTTTTTCTCGGACCGGTTCGCCTGCGAGGTAGGCAGCCCATCGTACGCTGACCGCCAGATTAGACCACCTTGAAAACGCAAGTTTCTGTGGACGGGGGTGGTTTCTGACGGAACCGAAGGTAGTTTTGTGGTCCACTGGGTCACCTCTGCCTCCACCGTTTCGACTACTTTTCCGTCAAAATCCGGACCCATCACTTTTCGCTAAAAACACGAAGGCTATTTTTGCCTTAGTAAATTTGGCCGAAAATTAAAATCGCCGAAAATAGTTGGTATAGTGTATTTCGACTAGCGGAGGAAGAAGAATAGCGGGTAGAACATAAAGGTTCCTGATTGGGCAAACGCTTACCCCCACTACCGGCGAGACGTAGAGGCGGGAAGCTCTCGGCCAATCGGAAACGTTTATGTTCTACCCTCTCTTTTTCTTCCTCCGTTAGTCGAAATACACTATTGGTCGGACTGAATCCTCTCTCAATCTCTGCGGTAAAGTTTTACAGCGCCGGGCCATTTTAAGTAAGATACGCCTGTTGTTTTTTGTTTTTTTTGGACTTGTTCGCCTGCGAGGTAGGCAGCCCATCGTACGCTGACCGCCAAATTCAAAAGACCACCCCTTAAAGCTCAAGTTTCTCTGGACAGGGGTGGTTTCTGGCGGAACCAAAAGTAGTTTTGTGGTCCCCTGGTTCACCCCTGTCGATTCGACTACTTTTCCGT